GTGGAATTTTTTTAGTAAGGTTGTATAGCAAAAAAAAAAAGCTAAATTTAAAGTATCAAAGTGCAAACATAATGAATTTTCTTGTGAAAAGGGAGGTACTACCAAGCTACTATGACACCACTTGGAAAGTGCACACTAGACTTAGTATGTTATAACAGAAAAATTTAATAAAAAAAAAGGAAGACACAAAGTGAATGTGGTAATATAGAGGATGCATTTAAAAGGTTAGCTTTAGAGTTTTGCAAGTGTCAGATACAATACTATTAAAACATAATGCCTAGTACAGGCATTATGTTTTAATAATATCATGCCTGGCACTTCAGAACCCTAGTTAGTTTTTCCCTTTTTTATTTTTTTTATTGATTTATTATTATTAATTTTAAGTTAATCTAATTTGAAAAATATTGTATAGAATCCTAAAGACCAAATGTTGGTTGATATTGATAATATAAAGCTTCACAATATGTTTTTCACCTAGATTATTAATCATCAACACCCATTTAATATAATTAAAGACCCTGAATTAATTGAAATTATAAAATATTTAAATTCCGCAGCACAGTTAGTTAAAGCTAATACAATTAAAGAAGCAATAATGTCATGTTATGATTCAGAAAAAAGGAGTTAAAAGCAAGCTTACAATTGTTATTTTTTTAATTTAATTCTTTTTTTCTATTTTTTTATTTTATTTTTTATTTTTTTAATTTATTTTAATTAAATCTTAGGAACCTAGAGCATCAGTAAAATATTTTATTAAATATTAATATTTATATTTTTATTTTATAACAGTATAATATACTGTATAAATATGTTATATTAGATTTAATTAAAAAGCTTATTATATAAGTTTATATATCTATTTTTTTTACAAATTCTATCAAATTATATTTTTAAATTATTATTTTTTTTTTTAATTCAGCTGTCCTGCCACTTTTTATTGAGATTAAACTATACTAAGAAATTTATATTCTTTAATAATAGCTATATTTAATCTACCCGTAAAGTGATGTACCCATGCTTTCACCAGATATAACTTGCCTCAGTAGACTTCAAGCCTCTCTCTGGACCCTAACTTACTAGAAGTTATCCTTTGGTCATGGGCTGGTGCCACACACCATATCCAAATTAACTTTTTCTTTTTACAAAATGAAATACAAACACAAATACAAAGAGCATAACAAAAATAGGGAAATACTATGGTGTCAAGTTCTGGTCCATCTAAATCAATAAACCAAATAAAACAAATAACGAAAAAAAGAAAAACAAAAGAAAAAAAAACAAAGATAGCACTATTAAACCTGTGTGAGATTGTAAAAATTATATAGTACTACAAATAACCTAGACTAAACTCTATGCTAGTTATTTATGTCTATATCCAGGATATAAAAATATCAAAAACCATCTAGTCTTGAAGTAGAGCTCCAAGAGTCAAAACTTCTAGATGCTATCTCATCCCATTGACACATCTTCTGCAATGTTTCAAGCATTATCATGTTATCTTACACTATAACTAAAAGTAGACATATATATATGTACGTATCTTTCTTTTTTCAGCAGTAATTGTTGTTATCGATCTTTTGACAGGGGTATGCCGTTTTTCCCACTTTTTAGAGAAATTTCGTAAAGACTAAGAGTGGAGATATGAAAGAGGGTTTCAGTTTGTGCATAGCCTTAAACTTCAGTAAAAAATGTATTGAAAACTTGCTTGTTGTTCTCCTTAGACTAACTATCTTTAACTTTGTCAGCATAAGCAGAGCTTCTATTAAAATTTTTTGTATAAAGACACCACCTTCTAGCCAGTTATCTTGTATAGGAATGCTTTTAACTTGCATACTGAATATACAGAGGAGTCTGGGTGAAACATGGAAATCCTTGACCTCTGTAAAAACTGTTATTTGTAGTTGTCTCTTCTACTTTTCTCTAACAAGTTTCTGTTTTCGTTAGCCGTAAGTTTGGTACAAGTGATCGTTAGAGAGAGTTCTTTTTAAATTATTTATTTATTGATATTTTTTATTTATTTATTTAAATTATTTATTTATTATTTTTATTTGATTAGAGTTATTTATTCAAAATAATTTATTTATTATTTTTATTTGATTGAAGCTATTTTATTTTATTTATATTTCATATATATATATTTACTATTTACTAATACTTACAGTGCTATAGATATACTTTTCTGCTATAAATTCTAGAATTTCCTTTACATTGGACCTTTGGACATCTCTTAACAACAAGGTCTTTATTTCTGCTACAGCTCATTATATAGATGACAATTGGACCTTTCAAGAAATATTAATTAACTTCAGATTATTAAATAGATATCATGATGGAATGAATCTATCTAATAGATTTTTTAAAGTATTAAAAAATTATAAAATTATATCAAAGGTATTTATATAAATTTAGATTTATCTAAGCTTAGCATAAAATGATTTTGCTTTATACTAGCTTAGTATAAGCCAAATTTATTTAATATTAAATTTAACATAAATGAATTTGGCTTTATACTAAGATTAGTATAAAGCCAAATTTATATTATGCTAAACTTAATATTAAATAATTGATTTATTTTAAGCTAGCATAAAATGAATTCATTTTATACTTAGCTCAGCTTTAATTTTATGCAAAAAAATGGTATGACTTTTTTTTCTGGAAGTTTCTTGCTATTAACTTAAATAACACTTCAAATAATAGTACTTTTATTCATGAATTGTTTATAAAGTTAAAAGAAGAAAATTTAGAATAGAACTTTGAACAACTTAGATTCTGGTGCATTAACCATATTCTTAATTTGGCTGCAAGGGCAGCTCTAGCTAAAATAGAGGAAGATGTTTGTAAGATATTAGTATAAACTCTGCAAAACCTTTTTTTTTAAAAAAAAATTTTATTATACTCAAACTATTAAGATTTGAGAACTTAATTCTGCTATTCATACATTACCTAATGTATTGAGCTATTTGAAAAAACATGTATTGCATGCACTATCAAATTTTGCAAATCTATTCTGGATTGTTCTACTAGGTAGAACTCTATCCATGATATGATTAAGAATGGGCTATCTCTTAAACAAGTAGGCTTTTTGCTTTTTTATTTATTTATTAACTATATTAATATTTTATTTATTATTATATGAGTGCTGCAAGCAAAACTTCTCAATCATAACTCTTCCTGATGATCATCTGGTCAACAAAAAATCAAGAAACTGAACTACATTCAGTACTATAGGAGATGCTAAAGTAAATAATAACTTGGTTCTACATAAGTAGGTGTGTTGTCAATGAAGTACTAAGAGTGTAAAACCGAGGCACAGTCTACTTTGGACTAGTTTTTGTAGAGGTCAAGCTCTTCTTCTGGCAGACTCCTCTATTATATTTAGCATCCAAACCAAAAGGATATTTTGGAAACACAGAACGTCTGGGACGACACCAAGAGTATTACAAGCTTTGGATATACCTATACAACTGTAAAACTTACAAAGAACAACTACAGAAAAGTTTCGTTGGGCCACCACTTTTTTTCGAGTAAATTTTATCAAAAAAGTGGGCGTTTTAGCTTACCCCTCCAAAAGATCAACATGTAATTTTTCAAAACAAGTCGGTATTGTTTACTTCTAAAACAGGATATCAGGCAGACGTTCGGAATAAGCAACCATATACGGACTGTATGACAACTAGAGTTATTACCCAGAACGGGTGACCCGTACAGGTCACCCGACCCAACAGGTTACAGATCAAAAATTGGTCTGACCCGGGTCAAACAGGTCAAGATTCAAAATATGTAAATTTACAAAATTATATATCAATATCGATATAAAAATCAGATATTTGCATTATTGTACATATAATCATATTGGTAGAAAATGTTTTGAATAAACTGCTTTTTTTTTATTCCAGTATCTCTCGAAATAGAACACATTTTTATGTGGATATTATGGTTTGGATCAATCTGAAAATACTAACACGATTTATTTCTTTATTTAATGATAAGCATTTAATAATTTTTCTTTAAAATAATGTTTGTTCACAATTTTCATTCTAACAGCTTATTTAAATCTTCAGGTAATTCCTTATACCTGCATCACACTGTCTTCTCTCATTTTTAATACAAACGTATTATTGGTTGTTTCGAATTTTAATGATATATTTAAATTGTATGTGCTTCATTATTATTGTTTTTTTTTTTATGTTATATACTTCCTCAAATTTTATGATATATCTGCAGTTCAACTTTAATGATTTATTTAGACCTGCAAGTGCTTCACATTTTTCTTGATTGCTCAGTACCTGTTCATTATCTGACTTAATTCTGAAACAGTTTAACTAAATCAAAAACCATATAAAAAGGTTAAATTTAATTATTTTGAATTACTTAAATATAATATTTGAGTGCTACAAAGCTAAAACATGCAAATCTTATCTAGTAAGATTTGCATGTTTTAGTTTTGCAGCATTCACCTTTATTACCTAGTTAAAAACATGTGAAATAGGCCAAAGCTTTAGAGCTAACTTAAGAAACAAAATTGATTCAACAAATTAAGGGTTAAAACGTGTTCTTTTTTCAGTAATTATGAGACCTGCAGATGAAAAAAGATGTTCAGATAGTACTGATGTAGCTGAAATAGAAAGGTACTTGCGAGCAAGTTTTGCAAGTATAGGATAGTCAGATTTTCTTAATACCCACCACTGAAGTATGTCTGTGTCGCTTGAAACCCTTGGCAGTAATAAATAAGAATTAAATTCACAGTTAGCAATGTTGTTATCATATTGATCTGAATTCTCAGTCACAGGATTAGAAAAAATATCTTCACTATGCATTATATCATGAGATGCTGAATCTAATAAATTGTCCGTTTCATAGTAATTCATAGCTAACTCAAAATATTCTATTCATGCTTCTGAAATAGTTTGATTTTTTTCATTCTCCAGAAATATTTGTATATCTTTAGTTCGTGGGTCAAAAAAAGCTGCAAGTTGAATCAGTTTTGTGGGTTCTAAAAATCATTCCTGAAGTGATTCATAAAGATGTTCTCCAAATCTCTTAATATCAGCATTACTTACTATTGTGCAATTAAGTTTTACTTTAATAAAATTAATAGCAAACCATGCTTGAGAAAGTGTTGGATACTGCAAACCGGATAATTTTTTCGAAATAACCTCATAAGGATACAATAATTTAACTAACTCATTTATTTTTTCCCATTCATCCGACGACAACTCCTTTTTTTCATAACTTCTCAACGAACTATTATCATTAATTTCAACTAAAAATGACTTGTACCTATACATTGCTGGTTTAAGAATCGTTAGTCATTTTAATAAATAAAATGTTGAGTTCCACCTCGTTGAGACATCACGAACTACAAAAAGAAAGTTATTCTAGTCTTCTATCTCTATTTGGGCTTCTAAAAGAAACTGCTTTTGCTTCAGACTTCCGCTAAAATGCGATACTATATTCTTACACCTTTTTATTAAGTTAGTAATTTGGAACACCCCTTTAACGCGTCACTAATTGCATGTTGTAAAGTGTGTTCAAAACAATGAATTCGAAAAATGCCATATTTTTGATCTAATTTTTCTAAACATAATTTAATATTTGACCCATTATCAACCGTACTGCTAATGGTTAGATGTTTAAGGCGAAGATTATCTAAGATTTCTACAATTTTATTTAAAAGACATTCAGAAGTATAGGGATATGGAAGATACGAAATGTTACCAGTAATTTCTTTTACTTGAAAGCTATCATTAATCCAATGAAGGGTAAGTCCAATATACGGATTGCCATTATTTGACGTCCACATATTGGTGGTAAAAGAAACATAACTAATTTCAGCACTATCAAGTGCATATTCACAAAGGTCTTGCAAAATTTTATCTTCAGAATTAATAAGAATTTCTTTTAAATGATCATTACTAAGTACATTAGCCTGGGTATCAAGGCCTTCAATTATTCTTTTAAATGATCGTAATTGAATAATTGAAAATGGTTGAAGTTCTTCGACGATAAAAGCAACTATATTATTATTGAGATTTTTTGGTTTGGGGTTATTAAATGCATATTTTTTTATTTTGTTAAATGACTGTACTATCGTTGATTACACAGATTAGGGCATTACAGAAAATTCACAACTATTATTACTCTTCACCACAATTTTTACTCGACCACCTTCCACCATAGCTCGTGAAATATGATGCTTATTTCTTAAATGCCTCCATAAATTCGAAGTAGAACCATCTTTTACATATTTTATTCGTGAACAAATTCTATGCCAACAAACCAATATTCTAATTTATTAATCGTTTTTGTCTCATAAAATTCTTTAACTGGACTACCACCCAGCTTTTTAAATGCTTTTCATTTTTTAACTAACGATTTACTGCCAGTTTGTGATAATGTAGAAGAATTAAATAAATTGTTATTATTGTTATTACTATCCGTATTATTAAATTCTGACCTATCCAAATCAATGCCTTCAGGTTCATCCAAATCAGAATTTTCAGGCTCATCCAAATCAGAATTTTCAGGCTCATCCAAATCAGAATTCTCAAGCTCATCCAAATCAGAATTCTCAGGTTCATATAAATCAATATCATTAGGCTCATATGGATCAATATAATTAGGTTCATACTGATCACTATCCTTAGGCTCTAACATTATATTGTCTAAATCTTCATCGCTCATCATTTATCGGCTTGGTAATTCAAATCTGTAGCGTGATATAATAAAATAATAGTAAATTACTTGTCCAAAAAAATAAACATGATAAATCATAACAGTAATCATATAATAGTATCTACGATATGCAAGTTTGTTTTATATTAATGGTAGATTCAGTGGTCATTGTTATAAGGCTAGGATATTCAACTTGTAATCTTCAACAGATATAATTCACTTTTTATGGACAATCTAGCAAGTATTTATCAGTAAAATTTGGGCGTTAGAAACTTTGAAATGCTTACTAATGCGATTTTATATATGTACATACGGTGCAAGAAATCCAAAGCCATCAATCATTTTTTCCCAAACCAGTTCCATAGAAGCACTAACAATTAATTCTATGTATGCACGTGCAGGCAAGAAATAAGCCTTTATTTTTTTCACACCAATTCCACTGAATTGGTAACAATAATCTTGAAATTCTTACTAATCTATTCTATATATGCAGGGAATCTAAATCCGTTAATCTTTTCCCACATCAATTCCATAGAAGCAATAACAATAATCTTAGAATACTTACTAATTCGATCTTATATATGTATGTGCAATGCAAGCATCTAAAATGGTTATTCTGTTCCTACATCAATTTGATCTAATATATGTATGTGCAGTGCAGACATACAACAGTTATTCTTTTCCCACATCAATTCCGTGGAAGCGATAACAATAATTTTAAAAATCTACATCCTTAGTGTTAGCTGATTTTAGATAATGCACCAATGCTTTATGCTTATCTAATTCAGCCCCAATTCATAAATAACAACTTGGCTT